ATTTTGAGCACACATGCTTAAATGCTGGTGCTTCCTGAAGGATCTTTTCTAAGCCTTCCATTTCTTTTCATTAAAATGTCTCCTATCATATTCTCATCTATCTCTTCCAAAACTCTCAAATCTTTAACTCTACTTCTGACTCCTTATCTCCCCCTTCCACATCCCAACTGCTTACCGGATCATTTTAGTCATTTCAACAATACCACAAACTTGGTGCAAAACCATCTTTCCTCCCAAACTCTTTCCTCCTCTGCCTTCATTTCCTAGTTCTTCTAATCATTCTCCTCCCCTGTCAGTTACCTGAGCATAAAAGCCAAGCATTCCATTTCACCTCTTCCTCTCCTTCATTAATATGTTATTAGTGGCCAAGTCTGCCCATTTGAATTCCTTGCTACTCCTGATAGCCACACCCGCTGCTCTTTCTTGTTTAAACCCTCCTGGCCTGATGTATGAGTTACTGCAGTAGTTCAATTGATTATACCTTGTAAGTTTTCCCCCTTCGATGCCTCCTACACTAAATGAGGCTGCATTAAACTTTCAAACACATTCACTCTGTTTTCTCCCCCTGAAAACCGCACATTACTCCTTCTCTCAGTGCATAAGTAAATTTGCAACCCCTGTTGGGTCATTCAGTATTCGCCATTGGGGATCTATCCTTACTCTGTTATTCTTTTTTCATTTCCCACTGCTCCCTGTATAGCAACTTAGATTCCAGACTTGCTGTTTCAAATAATATCCCACTCTCTTAGTTCCAGACCTGTGCTCACATTGAGCCCTTGGCCTGAGCGCCCCTTCTCCCCACTCCCCAGCCCTCCAGCAACTTCCCAAATACTCTGCTCAGATGCTATTCCAATGCTCTCCCAACTACATCAGCTAGAAGCAAGCCCTCCCTGTCTTCTCTCAACCCTCACAGTACCTTATTATGCCTTAGTAATAATATGTGTCACTTTCTTTCTTAGGCTATATTTACTTGCACAAATGATTTTCTTTCTTTATGAGAATGTATGCTCCCTGGGGAAAGCATCTATTTCTAAAGCATTTTTAAACAATGCCCAACCTCTAATATCACCTTGAATATAGCATGTTTCCATAAGCGCCTAAGTATTAGATAAAGTATTCATTAAATAGCTTGGGATTAGCCCTGCCTTCTTGAGAGAACCAGGCATATTAGAATATTAGCTAATTATTGGGACCATGGCCTACCATGGTTCAAGTCCTGGACCCAGCAGCTTGAAAATCACATCACCAGGTATATGTACATGCATGCCCATTTGAGAAAGGAATCAACTACTGTTTTTGTTGGCAAGAGAGCTAGATAGACAACTTCTATTTCGTTCTGCCATATTGACACAAAAGAATTACCATGTTATTTTTCATGAATGTTTATAGATAACTATGAAATTTGAGAAAAGGA